TGTCCTTTTTTGTATCTTGAGTACATAGATATTTCATTTTCTGCAATAGAATCTGTATCAGAGTCTGAAAATACATTATTTTCATTTTCATTTTCTTTAGATATGGAATGTATTACTTCATCTTGTAGATCCTTGTGCGCATTATTTATACTTTTGTTTATTGAACTATTCTTACACCTCTTTGCACTTTTTTCTATGTTAGATTCAGATGATTGACTTATACTATCTATTGACTCAAAACTATGACATATATCCGAATTATTTTCTTCATATGACATTTTGATACCTGATTTAGAAGTTGTATTACAATCAAATATACTTAAAATATCGCTTTTTGCATTAAATGTTTCTTTTATAATAGTGTCCTTGAGAGAATCATTTTGTCCGATATTGAATGGATTTCTGTATAACTTAGAACATGTTGGTATTACTGAAACATCAGAATCTATATCAGAGTCTGATCTTGCATTTTCTCTTTGAACTTGCTCAATAAATATACTAAGGTTACTTTTTAACTCTAGTATATTCGAACTATCTTTTTTTGGTGTAGCAAAATAGGTTGTATCTGAAAATAAATTTACATCTTGTTCAGTACTTTTAAATATTGTATTTCCAGATGTAGAAATGTTAGCAGGATCAATCATTACTTGATTAACTGAACCAATTAAGCTAGAACTTTCATTATCTTTTGCTTTTTTACTATTTACGACTTCATTAACATATTTTGTTTTATTCTTTATTACTTCACTCTGTGTTATATTATTGATATCATCAAATAAATCAGGAGATGTATTAGTATTTCGAATAGTATTTGTATCACTTAAACAGTTAATTTCTTCTTGCAATAATTTATCTGTATACGTATCTTTTCTCAATTCTATTTCAACAAAATCTGGTTTATTTATGTACTTATCTAAGTGACACTTATTTAATTCTTTATCATCATCCAATTTGGAATCTTTAATGTCATAGAATACATTTTGTATATTATTATTAGTTAATTCCAAGTTATCTTTCTCCTTAGAAATTAGTTCTTGGTCCTGTTTATTATGCATTTGACTTTTCATTTGTTTAATTTCAACTTCTTTCTTTTCTAGGAAAACAAATAATTTTGTTACTTTATATTTCCTTGCTAGATTTCTTAAAAATGGAAAACTTGCTAAATCATCCAAAACATCTAAATATTTTTTTATAATTCCACAATAAATAAATTCCAAAAATGCTAAAGCAATATTATAAGATATATTTCCCCAAGAAATTTTTTCCTTAATTTTAGTAAAAAATAAAGTATCATTAGGTGTTACATCAAGTAGTATATTTGAACACTGTACATAGAGAACTAATTTATGTGCCCAAATATATTTATCGTTGTTAACGAATATTATTATATCACTTGCAGAACTATCATTTAATGCATTACTCCAGTTTGTTATTATGGTATCAGTAAACTGTATATTTTGATAATTTTCGCATTTTTCATTTACAAAACATGCTTCTGTATGCGGTATTTCATGTATTTTTTTACTATAATTGCAGAGCTTTGTTTGGTACTGACTTGATTCCATATCATAGATGTTGCATGTATTTGCAAAATCTAAAATCGTTTCTTCTTTCTATAAATACAATATTAGTATGGTTTGTAATATCGTAAAAATATTTATAAAAATGTAATTTATAATATTAACAGATTTATTATTTATCTTACTTACTACTTGTTTTCTTCCTGGAGTTATATAATTTGATAAACTTGATACGTAAAAACACTTTTGATCTGAAGATAGTTTAGCTTTATTCCATAATTTTTCATCCTTTTGAACGATAGAAAGAAAATATAATATAATAAAAAGTAAATGCATAAATTGTAAAAATATAATCAAGCAGTATTCATACCTTATTACAAAATTCCTGAAGAGAATGACTTTTTAGATTATTTTTTTTTTCAATCATACGATTACACTTAATTGCTTCATTTTCATTTTGAGTAACTGGTTCATTTCCCATTAGAATTTCTGAAATTTTTTCAGTTAAAATATGATTTCTCTCTTCTTGAGAACGTGTTTGAAGTAAAGTTCTTTCATTATTCTTTCCTATTAGGAAAAAATATTAAAGCTATTAGTTTAACTTTATTTAAAAGAAAAATGTACATTTTAATTTAACATACTCTTTCTATTTTTTATTAATGATGGGGGTTTACTGTTTGCGAATCCAAATTTTTCCAACTGCCCTTCGTAAACTGATTTATCTATTTCTGGTACAAATTGATTTAATATTTTAGGTAAACTTTCAATTTCATTAATTTTATCTAATTCTTCTGCTTCCTGAAGAGATTTTGATAATGCTAATGCAAGTTGAAGATCAGTTTCTTCACATAAATTCTATATAAATTTGTAAATATTTCATAAAAGAAAAAGTATAGATGAAAATTATTTTAAGTATTTAAGAAATCTTTTCATAATTATAATTAATATTAAAAATTACATACTTTTCTACATGATGGAGTTGGTTTCTTTTTATCTTGTACTACAGGTGCAACAAGCAAACCTAATGATTTTCTTTCATTCTCCTGTCGCTTTTGAAGTTCAATGGCATCTAATAATTTTTTCGTGGTAATATTATTCTTGAATGCACAAATCTTCATATGTAATGAACGAGAGTTGAGATCTTTAAATGTTTTAAAACATAAAGGACATACAAGAGCTACTTTTACATCAGTAGAGGAATCATCGCAGTTAGTTTTAGGTTTAAAAAATGATGATTCTATCGAAGGCTGTTGTGAACTTCTTTTTCTCTCAGGCTGTTGTCTATACTTTTCTCCTTTGTGATTTTTAACAAAATTCTTAAATTTTACAGCTGTTTTTTTTTTTTTATGTAAGTCGCAATGACTGAATTCAGTTGGATTTGCTTTAGGAGATTGTTCTGGGCTTTTAAAATCTAATATACTGTCATCTTCATTCAAAACAGATATATCATATAAAAGTTTATTTTTTTCAAGCTGTTCATTCATTTTATGTTTCTCAAAAATGATATATAAGAAATTCTATTTTCTTAGGTATACTGTAATAAATATATGTAGTAAATATAAATATTATATTATATTTAATATTATATTAATATTTTGTGTATAAGTATATTTTTTATACCAAATATTAAAAGGTAGAAAACATTACAAAAAAATAACAATCTCTAAATAATATTTCAACATATCTTATAGATTAAATAATTTATTTTATTGAATATTACATTATTTAAATATTATAAAATGAAAGTATTTGATATCTATACATAAGAGATGTATTTTCATATTATTTCTTTTTAAATGTTATCTATCTCCATAGTATAAAGTTCACAAATTATTATTACATTAAAATAGAATTACTTTTTTAATAAAATGTCTTGATGTACAAACCAATTAATTATTGGCTTTATCTTCTTCTAAAGGTGACTCAAAGTTGTCAATATCTAATAATTTGTATGTTTCTTTCGTAAGTACATGCGAAACAATATTGCTATATATTGGTTCATTCCAGAACTCCTGTGTTTCCTTAAATTCGTCATATAAAGTCTTTTTTCTATTACGATAATTTTCTTCAAGTTCAACAATAAGTTTTTTTCTATTTTGCACAGATTCACTGTAATATAATATGTTAAACGTTAAATATTATATATTTAAGAATTATAATATTCACTATTTCACCAAAACTTGTTGATTTCATAATTGTTTCAACAATACATGATAAGGTTAAATATATCGTCTGTTTCATAAATTAAATGTTTATAATTCATATAATATATTATTTCACTCTCAGTTTAACTTTTATATGCAATATTTCAAACTTGTAAAAGAATTGTAATACATAATACATAAATAATAGTTAATTATTGTAAAATTATAAGGAATATTCACCCAAGTACATAGAAGAATGCAGTAGGGATAAGAATTTTTATTAAAGTTGTAATTATAAATGCTTTACCAGCCGGAGTTCTAGCGATAGTTTGTGGTTGTTTTTTTTTTAAAACCACTGGTTCATACATTTTGTGTACAAAATATACTTTTGCAATTGCTAGATATAACGTACAATGTTCTTATATCATACAGTGTTACCATAGGAAAATTTGAAGTTGCATAATCTAATATACAATACAAAATAATGAGTATTTATTACAATTAATTTCTACTAACGGTCCTTGCACTAAAATACTTTAAACTTTAAAATATATAACATATTTTTTTACATAAATAAGCCAGAAATATTGAATAAATAATATATTACTCAAGTACATTTACTTTAAATATATACATACATACGTCACGCTCTCTGTTGTTTATTCCATAAAATAAACCTTCAAATGGTTGAACTTCGATCCTTTTGATTTAATAATCCCGTTAAATCAACACAAATAAAAAATCGTAAATATTAGTTTTAAGAATTTTAATTTTCCTAAAATGTTTTTCAATATGTAACAAAATTGACAAAAATGAATTTAAAGATAATTGATGATTATATAAAAAGTAACTGATTTTTATGAAATATAAAAATATTAGCTATATTTTTGTACTCTCCAATTAATTAGTTAAATATGGTATGTATCTCATTTTATCATTTATTTTATTACCTTTTATGTTCTTGAAAATTCTATATATGTTTCTGATTTTACTTTAGGCTTCTACTTCTAGAAGACAAACTACAATTGGAACTAGAAAAAGAGGTGTACCAAAAATGGAATTGACTGCTGAACAAAAAGATGATATAAAAGAAGCATTTGACTTATTTGATCCAGATGGCACTGGAAGAATAGCTACCAAAGAACTTAAAGTGGCTATTAGAGCTCTTGGATTTGAACCAAAAAAAGAAGAGATAAAAAAACTTATAGCTGATGTTGATCCAGATGGTCTTGGCACATTATCATTTGAAGAATTTTTAAATTTAATGTCTACAAAAATGTTAGAAAAGGACACAAAAGAAGAAGTTTTAAAAGCATTCCGTCTTTTTGATGATGACAATACAGGAAAAATAACTTTTAAAAATTTAAAAAGAGTTGCTCGAGAATTAGGAGAAAATCTTACAGATGAAGAGCTGCAAGAAATGATTGATGAGGCAGATAAAGATGGGGACGGAGAAGTTTCTCAAGAAGAGTTTTTACGTATTATGAAGAAAACTAGTTTGTATTAGCATTTCATTATTTATTTTTGAATTATTCTGTAAAGATTGCTTTTGTCTGCAAGTTGCTTGTGTGACTTGTGTAAGACATTACTATTATCAATTATTTCGATTTAAAAGCTAACTTTATTTTATATAATGATACACAATACTAAATATAAATAATAGTTAATAGTATATAATAGTATACACTGATATTAACTTAGAGACATTGGAAAAATATTAAATATTTTGTTCATAAACAGTACAAAATAATTATAAAAAGTTTTATTATTATTTACTTATTACTTTATTATTATATACTTCAAAATTTTGTACAACTTTTCATTTATTTAAAAGTTTCTTGTTTGATTGTTGATATAGCAGCATCAATTAATGACCTTATCAACTCTGCTCTTTTCTTACATTTACTTAAACTTTTTGAAAATAAATCTTGTGAAATTGGGATTCCACCTAAATAAAGAATGTATAGTATGTTATATTAGCTTCAATAATAAACACAATATGCTTAAATTTACTTCTTTAAATAGCAAATAAATTTATACCAGGTTTGTGTATGCAACAAATCTTTTCTTCATTCATTACAATTGTCAATCTTCCTAAACATAAACTTTCTTCATCATCGGTAGGATCGGCAACCAATAATTGACTAAAAATATTAATATGAATTCATAATTTTATTTGTTAACTATTCTAACGTTGGATTTCAAATTAAATATAACTTACTCATTAAATATTGCAAAAGTTATAGAAACTGGTAATGCTTTAACCAGGAACCTTATTCTTTTTGTGGAATTTACAGATACTCTTCCAGTTTCTACATTATAAAGTGTTTCAGGTAAGGTTACTATAAAAAAAATGTATATATTGAAGGTATATAGTTAAGTATATTTGAACCATATTATTTTAAATTATTTAAAACTTACAAGTACTAAGTGTAGCAGTCAATGCTCCAATGCAAGCATCAATTATTGAACCATCATAGTTAATACATACAAGGTCACAGTATAAGACCCATACTAGTTTACCCTTATAGACACAAAGATCTTTTAAATCAATAGCTGCTGAATTTCTTAAAATATTTTCTACTAATTTTGTAATGACTTGTGCTTGGTCACTTGGTGGGCCTGGCCGAAATTTAGGAGAACATAATGGAGGAAGTTCAATATTTGGCACAATGTAACCACACTCCGGAGATTCTGCTTTAGGTGCTGCTAACTCCTATAATTGTATTTTATTGTAATAGGAATTATGATACATATCTATATATTCACATATAAAAATAGTAAATTATTACTATAAAAAATTAAAATTTTTATATTATTTTTTTCCTTTCAATTTTATATTCCTAATATTCATTTCTATTAGTACAAACAAATAGAATATAAACAAAAATATCCAGTGGATGTTACTTACTGCTTTAATACCACATACAACTGTTGTGTTACCAATTTTGAATATGGCTGAGCTATCGGCATGAGTAATTGATGATATATTTACACTTATTGGGCGAAAAGATAAAAACTGCCTACCATCTGGTCGGATATCTTGTGCCTTAAAAAATAAAAAAATTAAAATAGTAATTTAAGTGTAATTTACAATATTAATGTATAACTATATACATACCAAATGGTCTTGTAAATATTTCACAGGATGTATAATTCTGTAATTTATGTTTAATTAAATTTTATTGCAAAGAAAAAACTGTTAAAAGTATGTTTAAAACATAGTTAATAATATATTGTGCTATATTAGCTTACGACGATATAAATTTATCTCCATACAATGCGATATTATTTAGAAATGGAAGTAAAAAGGTTATGTTAAACTGAATAATGTATTTAAAAGACTAATTACTCAATATATACAAATTTAAAATTTTATATTTTATAATGCATTTGTTATATGAAAATTTATTTTAAGTATACATATTAAATTAATAAAAAATCATGTAATATAATGTAACTGATAGAAAATACCAACTTATATTGTGAATCCATTACTTCAATTTTAACTACTAAGTTACAGTTCTTCTTGTATTAATTGAAAAACTCAGTTACATTATACATATATAAAATATGTTATATATATATATAAAATGGGTTTTTTACAAAATATAAGTGAGAACTAAAATAAAAAACGATAAACATTTAGAGAGGGAGTTGTCAAGTTTGTCATATTTAATAAATAATTATATTGACATTGTTTCTTAAAAATTAAAATTCTGATAAAATAAATATGCTATAGCTTTATTTTAATCTTATGACAGAAAGTATTTGAATTTTTAATTTGTTTCTATTTATTTGACAATACATGGACAGACGCTCTCTATATTAATTTAAATTTCAAAGAGAAGATTAACTGAGGAAATTCATCTGAATTATGTTATTAAATTTTATTTGTTGCAAATATATGATATTTCGTAAAGATTCCATTTAATCTTATAATATAAACACACAACCGAATAGTTTTAGTTTTATACATTTAAAAATTTATTATAATGTACTTTTTCTTTTTGAAATTAACATTAGATTAGTATCAATTGCTTACAAACAATAGAAAAGACAAGTGTTCTATTTAGAAAGGCACAATGTGGCATATATTCTTAAAATATTATATTAACGGAAATTAGAATCTACTGAGAGTAAATAGCAAAATAGTACAATATAACAAGATAATACAAGTATAAATGGTTAAAATTTTATAAAATACAGAGTTAAAAAAATAGTCTTCTCTATCTTTAAATGCCTGTGTAACTATATAACTTTTAATGTCGAAGATACCTCCGAAGTCATTCACGTAAATTACATATATATATCAAAGATATAAATTTTTTAAATTTAATATAAAATTATTTGAATTCTTTATACACACAGACATGTTTTTTGTATAAATATAATTTAAGAGTAATTTCAACAAACTTTAAATTACTATTAGTTGTAATATTATTGACAATTTAATGTTATTAACTTTTAAAAATATAGTTCTGAATAATGTTCCTGTTTTATTGCTGTTCATAGTAATGTGATGTAGTTAACTTCATCGGGCAAGTGTAGAATAAAATTTAGGCTGTAAGAAAATAAAATGTATAATAAAATCATTGAAAATTTATTGAATTTATTCATTATCAGTACTTTTAAAGTCACTTACCTCATGATCATGATTTTCTTCTTTATTTCCATCATCATCATCACCAGAACTATCACCTCCTGAACTATCTACAGAATTACGTTGTTGATCTTTGTTATTTAGGTTATCAACAGCAGAAGGAGATGATGCTTTTACTTTACTAGCTGCATCATAACATTGTAAACAAACTCTAACTGCTTTTCCGTTTCCTTGTCCAGGCAATAATAACTTCTTATTGCTGCAAGGCCCACATACAACAGCTCCACATTGCCTACAATGATGCTGAAAATGATTTATTAACAATATAAATATTTAGAGAATATAATATATTTAATGGTTTGGAAACACAATTAATGTATGAATACCCGTCTATTTAAAACTGTAAATTGTGTCTTATTACAATGCATACAAATTGTAGCTTCGTTATCTGGAACCCAAACAGCTGCATGAACTTCAACTGGTTTCTTACCACCTATTAAAAGAATACAGGTACATATTACATATTACATAAATAAATAAATTATCATAATAATAATTACTTACTTTTTCTTAATAAGTCTTCAATACATTTTGTAATATGAGCCATCCATTCTTGTTTCTCTGTTGGAGTGGCAGCATAAACAGCAAATGACTTTGTTACTGTCTTTATGAGCCAGCCATTGCGATATTCTATAAATAATAATAAACTAATATATTGCTTTTATATAACTATATATATATATATTTTTCAATGGTGTCTGTACTTGATACACAACAAATTAATAATCCAAAAATTAGTCCTAACATTATTATAAATGGTAATCTAACAGAAAACAAAGAACTTTTTGTAGAAATAAAACAAAATATTTCATAAATATGTATAGTATAAATCATATTTAGTTAACAACAAACTCTGTTAATGTTATTTTTATTTTGTATAATATAGATTCTTGAAACTTCTAGAATATTTAAGATATTTTCTATATAATAGAAAATTAAAATCTAACTACAAACTGATTTGTAATTAAGTACAAAACATAATTTAATAAATGGATGGAAAATATAACTTACGACCATCATCAGCTAAAGATTCAAGTTTGACTTCCTCAAGTGGTATAATATGTTGTTTGTTGTACTGTTAACATATATAAATCTTCTTAATATCTCTAATAAATTAATATATTGTTTTAAACTATTATATTTTAATAAATAAGTTAAAACTATATTTAGTATAATTATTAATATTCATACATGTTTACCTTTTTCTTGTTCATTACAATGTTTCCATAAACCAATATATCATTAAATAAAAAGAATTGCCTAGGCTTAGGCTTTTTTCTACACATTTTGGTTAATACACCTTCTCCAACTAAAACTCTTCCAGGTACTGCAAGTGGCTGAAATATGTAATAGATTAATGTAAACTTAATAGATAACATCTTTGTGCTTTGAACAATGCCACATATGTCAAATTATATTGCTTAGTTGTGTTCTTCGGAAATATAAGGCATAACATAAGAAAAATTAAGATTTTTAATATCAATCTTACCTGGCCAGAACTGCCAAAGCAGTTTTCGACCATAGCAATACGCCTGGCATTAGCCTCGCTATTTACTGCAATAAACCATATATAAATAAATAACCTTTAGTTACTTTCAGGTAAAGATTTTAGTAAAACCCATAATATGCGGCAACAAATATAATTCACTAAAAGATTAATCATTTCTGTAATACGTTTTATATATTACGTGTTCAACTGTCAAAATCACAAACTACTAAATTACACCGTTACCCGAAGCAATTTCAAAAATCATAGAATAAGTAGATTATGAATTTTCTAATTTAATAATCGAAGTAAATATTCTATATATTAAAGTTATATAATAAAAATAAATTAAACTTTGCATACAGAATATAACATTAATTAATTGATAATAAATGAAATACAAACTAACCCAATCGGTCAACCATGGTCCTATGAATCAGGGCTGACAACAAGGAAGTATGAATCATGAACATGTTTAATATTTGTCAGTATTAACAGTGGATAATATTTGAAATATTATAAGAACAATTAATGTATTTAAAGAATCATATAAGAAAATCTTTGTTATGTCGCTTAAATATGTAATATTTAAAATAATATAAGATTTATGATTTTTAAATAAATATTGTCTATCATAAAATACAAATGATACACATATTATATAATTTTGTATTTATTTTCACTTTAAATTTTCCAGTTCTATTTAATTAATAAGCAAATGTTAATAGAATAACAGTATACATTATTCTAACCAATATGTATGTATCACAGATTTTCAAATACCGGATATACCCTTTCGAGATATCGATATCTAATATTACTGGTCAATAAAAATCATATGATTATTAAGGGTGTAGCAAACTAGCAAATTACAAGTAGTGGTAGACTTCTATTTAGATTATTTTATACGAAAGTAATAGAAGATAACTTTGACAAAAAAAAATGAAGATATGTGGACCTAAGTATGCCCTATGTGGCCTGATATTATCTACTTGGGGTATATTCCAATTAGTAAGTCACTTCTTTAACCTAATAACTTTAAATGTATTGAGAAATTTTAAAATAAATAATTGTGCATCATGTATAAAAAATTGCAAAAAAATACATTTTATATATTTTATATATTCAGATGTTATTTCTCCTTGTTTATTTGAATTTTATTATTTGGGGAAAACAAATTAGTTATCTTTTATTTGTAATCAGTCTTTTAGTAATTATAGGATTCATTGAATTAATCAGTATATTCTTTTATTTCATGTTATTTATTCATATATATAAAGCAAATATTATTGTACATTTTTCAAAAATTGTAATCTGGAAGAAAATTCATTTATTTTTCAGCTCCTGATGGGAATATTCTTTTACTACAACAGTGTAGCTTTAATAGAAGACCTTCCGTTGGGAGAACAGACTTTTAATAAACCTACAGATTTTTATGCTGTAGCAGAGAGGGGTTATAAACAAAATGCATATAATTGTTGGATTGCAGCTTGTATCTATGTCCTTACATTCTTATTTTCTGGACATCAATTTTATATAAATTCTAGATCATCTTTAAGCGTTTAAAATATTATTAGCATGTGAATACAATAAATAAAAGTACATATAAGTATATAGTATAGTGATACATTATAAATATAAACAGGAATTTAGGAATATGCTAAATACAAATTTCAATAACAGATTTTTTGATTGCATTCTAATATTAAGAATTTGTGTTTATTTAAAGAACATATAATAAATTATACTACAATATAAGTGTGTAAAATAGAAGAATATAGATTATTTCATATTATGTATGTATATATATGAAAATATACCAAAAAATTATTGTTGAACTTATTTTTCATCATAATGTGAAATATGTATTTCTCTTTTTCTCTTATTTATTAGTAGTATTAGAAATCTTTAACTGCGTTAAATTAATGAACATAATTGCTGGAATCAACAGCAATTTACAACTGATATAGTAAAATTTCATGTTTATGCAACACAACAATTTTAAAGAATTTATTTTATTTTGAATATTAAAAAAAGATTGAATTTGATACCATTATTTTAATTTTAAAGATTTTGTAAATATGTAATTGCTACGTATAATATTTACGAAAAACAATACATTCATTATCGACAATGAGTCATTTTCGATTACGTTTATACTGTGTTCAAATTTAATATATGCCGAAATAAAGAGAGAGGTTTCAAATTTTGAATTGTCGTAACATGTAAAATCTTAAAACATGCTTTTTAATATTTACTATATTATTATCTAGAAAGAAGGTCAAAATTACATGAATTGTGCATGTAGAATTGTAACACTATCAACAATAAGTGATAGGTTATGTATAATAACTATAAAATTTAAGTCATTTTAATTATCTCGTATTATACATTGCAAATAAAATATTTTGTAATAAGCAAAGTAAAACTAAAATGTTTTTGAACGTAAAAAATCATTCCATCTGATTACCATTATGTACCAGAATGTTTTAATAAATTTTAATTGCTTAAAAATTTAAATTTCAATTGCTTTGTATCATTATTAATATATCAAATATTAAAATATATCATATAAATCATTAAACTGATTTGTATTCCATTGTAGAGTATTACACTGCATTAAATACAATGGAAAATGAACAAATTGTAACTGATGACTATAGTGAAATAATACAACGTCTTCCTTTTTCTCGGAAACTTTTATATGGAATAGGACATGTTTTGAATGATATTTGTGCTTCTATGTGGTTTACATATTTATTAGTTTTTTTTCATTTGGTATTGGGATTTAATTCAATCTCAGCTGGAATAATTTTACTCATTGGTCAAGTAGCAGATGCTTTGGCTACTCCTTTTGTTGGTTTTCATTCTGATAAGGATGATAACTTTGGATTATGTAAATATGGGAGGAGAAAAACATGGCATTTAATAGGTATATATCATTATTATTTCCTTATATGTTATTTATTATATCATGTAATTTTTTCAAACAATTTATTTTAGGTACCTTATGCATATTATTTGCATTTCCTTTTATATTTTCACGTTGTATTGGTTGTGAAACTTCTCATGAGTGGGCTCAATTAATCTATTATGCAGCATTTGTGATAATCTTTCAGTTTGGGTGGGCTGCTGTACAAATATCTCATTTGTCCCTAGTTCCAGAACTCACACCTTCTGAATATGAAAGAACAGAACTCATAGCGATCAGGTATGTCTTTAATTATTGGAAGGGAGATATTTAAAGTTGAATTATAACCCTAAATATTTATTACAACTTTATTTAGATACAGCTTTACTGTTCTATCAAATATTTTTGTTTACTGTATTACATGGGCAGTATTACATGTAACAGATACTAATGCTTCCAATTCCCAAATTGGGCCCGATGATGCAAAGAAATTCCAGGAAGTTGTATTTATTGGAATTGGAGTAGGAGCTGTAACGTCTATTTTATTTCATACCTTTGTCAAAGAAAACTTTGTTAATAATTCTGATGGTAAAATTATTTTTATATTTACTTACTCTGTGATTAAAAATTTTGTTTATTATAATATCTGTTTTATCACATTTATTTTAGGTTCGTTGAATAGAAATTCAAGAACAGTATTAGTACTATTAAAAGATGTTCAATTATATCAAGTAGCTTGTATATATATGCCTACTCGTTTGTTTGTAAACTTATCACAAATTTATATTCCTTTGTATTTACACAAATCGTTAAATATGCCAGCTACATCTTTGGCTACAATTCCTTTAATAATGTATTTGAGTAGTTTTGTGATGTCCTTAATTATAGAAAAATTGAATACAAAACTGGGTCGAAAAGTTTCATATTGTTTTGGAGTTTTGTTAGGTGTATTTGCTTGTATTTGGATACAATTAGGTACTGGCTTAACATACACAAAATATCAAATCTATCCAGTTTCCTTAATATTAGGTAATATTACATAATTTTTTTTAAAGTCCTTAAAATTAAATATAAATGAAATATATCCAAATACTAATTTGTTTTATTATAGGATCTGCGGGCTCTATTATGTTGGTGACTAGTCTTGGTGTTACTGCAGATTTTATTGGACAAAATGTAAATAGTGGTGCATTTGTATATGGAATTATGAGTTTTACAGACAAACTTTGCAATGGATTAGCAGTTATGCTTATTCAATATTTGTTAGTATATAGCTTAAAATACTAATTATTTAAATGACGATAAAAGTAAATTTTTAAAAAATAAACAAAAATAAGCAATTCTCTTTTTTATGTTTTCAGAAGCTCTTGGATTGATTGTAAAAATTACTATAAAAGTGTTTTAGTTTATGTTTGTGCTACATCTGCAATGGTTGGCTTATTAATGATATTATGTATAAAACCATTTCATCACAGTACAGGTATACATTTATAATAAATCATAACTGTATTTCTGAAAGGCACTGGTAGTTAATTCAGATGAAATTTGATAGGTATCATAGAGAAATGTTATGGAAAATTATGAAATCAAAATTTTAACAAATTATGCATTCTGAAGAAACAGATTTATATGTATAATAAATTTTTGTTATTATTAGATACTGCATAATCTTTTCTCATGATACTCATTAAATTACATCTTGTTTAGTCACCTATGCCATTTGGAAGAATATCTTAAATTATCTATTAAATTAATTATAATAATGATATAATATTAATATAAATTATTTCAGTATATAATACATTACACTGTGAACAAACTATAGAACATGATAATATATTTATTACTACAGAAACAATAGAAAATGAACCTGACAATTCAATAAGTCAAGAAAATGTTACATAGTATAAAAAAGATAGTAATTAAAATTTTGTTCATTTGATGTTAAATCCTAAATATATACTTTATATATTACTTGTGTAAATATTTATTTAAATATCTGGCTGTAGTTTTCTATGGAGGCTCAAAAATTATTGATCCTTCCGTATATATTCTGACAGAATTTGACGAGAAAAATCCAAATATGCAGGAATCCACTGGTTGAAAAGTTACGCGTATGTAAAAATCAAGCATTTTCAGCATATTTTACAGGTAAGTAATAATGACGCCATATTGACTTCTATCGATGATTACTCCAGTGAGTCGCTGGTTGTATACAATGCATGTGGGTGGCGAGCATTTTGTGGCGGGATTTTGAATCGTGAGTATTGGATTAGATTTGGGTTATGTTTCATACTCCGGCCGCCATAAGATGGCCGGTTACTTCCACTATTTTAAAGGTGGCAGACATTACAACAAAAAAACGCAAGTGAAAATTGTAACATGTTAATTGTGTATATAATGTATTAAAATAACTCGTTTGTACAAAATATTGAAAAATGTGTTAAAATATGTTAAAATGTGTTAATTGAATGTATCAATATAGTACGTAAATATATTTGAAATGTCTTTATCAGTAGGTAAGTAACCACGTGAGTAGGATTCTAACCTTTTAAAATTTAGTAAGACATAATTACATATATATTTTTTTATTTGACAGAATTATTAAGACGTCTAAATTCAGACGAAGAACCTTTACCCAAACGTTTAAAATTAGCAGAAAATGCATTCTGTGCCATTGATATACCAATAATACATAAAGAAGATCTTATTCTGCAATGGCTTTGTAATATGTGTCCCATGGACCAAGAAACTTGGGATTCATTAAAAAATTGTTTGAAAACCGAATATTTGGATATTAAAAGTGATGTAATAAAATTATTGATAAAATTATTCGTTGAAACATTTCAAAAAGATGTAAAACATATACGTGAGGATGTTTTCGAATGCTGTCGATTATTAACTTCTAATAACAGGATTGCACAATATTTTATTAATAAGCCAAAAGATTTAGGACTTTTAACAAAGTCCTTATTAGAATGTGTAAATAGTGTTTTTAAACACACCTTTAACATTGGAGAAAAATCAACAGAAGGAATAAAGATTTCATTAATTAACAAAAGCAATGGATTGATACTGACAGCATATAATACAGTAATTAATGTCGTAGAAAATATAATACAAATTTATAAATCTGCTTTTATTACAAAAGATAGTTTGAGAATCATGTTTATACATGATATCTTATATCCTTTGTGTGTTATAATTGACCACGACTGTACTGATAATACCAATAGATTAGGTGCAATAACACATAAATGTATTCAACAATTAATATTTGGTAAAAAACATACTCAAAGTGGAGAATTTCTAAAAGATGAAGATATAACACAATTTAAAAACTTACTATCTATTTTGACAGGACATGCAAAGACAAAAGATTTCCAAAGTAATTTAATGACATTTACTTTTCTCTTCCGTGTTGCAGTAATTACTTTCAAATCAGACACTGTTACATTAGATATAATATTAAGAAAATTAGTAGAATGTTCTGGGACACATAAAAGAGAAGTTTTGAATACTTTTTTAAAATGTTTAAATGACATAACTTTTAATTTTGATAATAAAGTACATGAAATCACATTATTTGATTATTGTCAAAATATAATTAATGATATTTTAATAAGTAAAAGCATGAGTAATGCAGATTACAATCTCTTAATACAATTTTGTTATTTTAATCCTCTCATAATTGAAAGAAAAGTTAAAGATATACTAAGAAAAATGTTTATAGAAAAATCAGTATTGGAATACAAACATTTAATGATTTCTATTTTGGATGCTTTTATACACTTAAGGGAAGAAGAAAAATTAATTTCAGCAATATTAATAGCATTAAAAGATAGTTTGTCTCATGTATCAC